TTTTCTCCAACACCACAGTTCAAAAGCATCTATTCTTCGGCGCTCAGCTTTCCCACTCAATGCAGTAGTATTTGAATATATAAACCGAAACTTATAGAGTTTAAAGGAGAGATAAACTAAAATACAATAAAGGTTGAGGACTGTAATATCCCATTCTCAAAAATGGATATATCACACCTATACTTAATGGAATCGAAAGATAAGAATTATATGATCATCTCAAAAACATAGCAAAAGCATTTGACACAATCTAGCTTCCATTCATGATAGATATTCTTAAAAATTAGTCATACATATCTGATAAGGGGTTAATGTCCAAAATATAAAAAAAACCTCACACAATTCAATAGCAACAAATCAAATAACCAGTTAAAATAGGGCAAGTTACCAGAATAAACATTTTCCCCAAAAAATATGTGAGGCCAACAAGAACATGAAAAAATGCTCAACATTACTCACTAGTCATTAGAGAAATGCAAAGGAAAACCACACTGAAATATTATCTCACATCTCTTAGAATGGTCATCATGAAAAAGACAAGAGATAGCAAATGCTACGGACGATATAGAGAAAATGTAGTCCTAGTTCACTGTTAGTGGGATTGTAAATTAGTACAGTTACTATGGAAAACAGTGTGGGGAAATTCTCAAAAAATTAAAAATTGAAATATCATATGACCCCAAATTACACTTATGGGAATATATTTCAAAGGAAATGAAAACAATAACTTGAAAAGATATCTGCACCCCCATGTTCATAGCAGCATTGTTTACAATAATGAAGACAGGGAAACAATCTAAGTATCCCTTGATGAATAAATGAAGAAAGAAGCTGTGGTGTAGAAATACAATGGAATGTCATTTAGCCATAAAACATGAAGAATCCTGCCATTTGTGACAACATGGATAGACCTTAAAGCCATAATTAGAAAGAAAGACAAATACAAAATCATCTCATTCATATGTGGAATCTAAAAAAGAACAAGCAAATAAAAACAAATCCCCAAGCTCACAGGATGTGTTAATTAACTCGATGAGGATAACCCTTTTACAATATATACATGTATCAAATCATCCCAGTGTACACTTCATGTTACAATTTTATTTGTCAATTATACCTCTACAAACTGAAAGAAATGTTTTAAAAGTGGATATAATAATCTGAAGATGACATTTTTAAAAATAAGAAAAGGCTTATACACTGAAGCATACAAAATATTATTGAGAGAAAATAGGATGGTGCAACATCCCAGTGGGAAAATTCAGTATTGTTAAGATGACAGTACTTCCCACAATGAGCTATGATTCAGCATAATCCTTATCAAAGTTATGTCAAGGTCTATTCATAAAATGTGTAAGCTATTCTAAAATACATAGGAGCTGGCTCCCGCTGATTTACCTGCTTCATCTGTGGCCACACTTCCCCGGACTCTCTCTCACTCCTGTCACACTCGCCTTTGTAAGCCTCGGTTCTACAGTTCGTCACGGTGCTCTGTGCTTAGTCGCCCTGTTACCCGGTACACTGCAGCCCGCCAGGCTCCTCCATCCATGGGGATTCTCCAGGCAAGAATACTGGAGTGGGTCGCCATGCCCTCCTCAGGGGGTCTTCCCAACCCAGGGATTGAACCTGGGTCTCCTGCATTGCAGGCGGATTCTGTACCGCCAGAGAAGTCCAAGAATACCGGAGGGGTAGCCTATCCCTTCTCCAGGGCAACTTCCCGACCCAAGAATCTAACCAGGGTCTCCTGCATTGCAGGTGGAGTTTTCTCCAGCTGAGTTACCCAGGAAGGCCCATAGTTCGTCCAAACACAAGCTTTTTTTTGGTATCTTCTGTTTCCTTACTACGGAAAGTTTACCCTGACCTTCTTCTAGTCATCCTTTGGGTTTCAGATGAAATGGCTTTTCCTTAGTCAACTTTTCCTGTGCCAATCTTCTATCTCTGCTGTGTGCTCTTTTATTATCACTTATATCTCCTTTGGAGTGCTTATTGTAATTATACTTAAATAATTAATAGAATAATTTACTGTTTACAGTCAGTTTCTCCTACTAAGATGTGAGCTTCAGAAATCCTTAAAAAATAACTTCCAAGCTTTCATTCCCATGCGCTAGTAATTACTGGTGCTGCTGGCCATGATTAGAAGTTGAATAGGTGTCTCTCTTCCAGATGGATGTAAGTTACAGAGTTTTTGATCTTAAGACTCTCAATTCAGTGATAACTTTCCCTATGTGCATGTCATCTTTAGTCCAGGAGTTTGTTACTTGGAGAGTACACTTATGTTTCTTTATGTGTTTGATTGGAAAAAATATATAATCTGAAAATGATCTCCATTGATAGTTGACTACTTAATAACTAGAATGATTTTCATTGATACCAAATTAAAAATAATAGAATACCATCATATTGCTCTTTGAATAATAAATGCATATAGAAAAAAGCAGTTTTGTTATATCAGATGTTTCAAGGTATTTTCTGTTTAACTAACCATAAGTTTCTCATAATGAAAAAAGTATGAATTTGGAAAAAAGAAACTTGGCACCTACTCATTGTACATCCCATCTGTAAACATGTCATGTCTTAGAAGTCCTTGCTCACAAGTTTATATTGAGGATTAAGTAGGATAACATGTTTGAAATTTCTTTATAAACACTAAAGCACCATACAGGTGTTAGTCATTGTTTGTATGTCCATTATAGAGTGAGGAAATGAAATAATTCTATTTTATGTCCCCAATGGACATAGACTTGACACACATTTATGTAACTGCCAATATCCTCCATGGGAATTCTTGAACATAAGGGCTGTTTTAGAAATGTATTATTAGACCCGGAGGAAATATTTCATTCTCAAAGATCATGTGCATACAGCAACTGTAAGGGAGCTTAACTCTCCCAAATAGAAAATGTGAATGTATACACCCACAGTATCAGAAATTCATTTATTTTAATTACATACTGCTAAAGAAACCTTTATATAGCACACTGAAATTTCATATACAACACCCCACATATACACATTTTAACTAAATTGAATCAAGACATTTTTTCTTCTTCAAGCCAGAAAAAGGGTGGTGAATGGCCCACCTATAAATTTCAACTTTCAATTACCCTGTGGAATATTTAAACTGCCTGGTTAACGAGGGAGGAAAGCCTATTAGTGCAGAAGCTAATGTTTCTAACTATTAATATTGACGATAGAATCAGATTAGAGAGGACAGGAACGGCTAAATTAATCACCCACACCTTGTCCTTTGAGAACCAGGAAACTGTGTTCTCCAGTCTACTCCAGAAGTGTATTCCAGTGACATGGAGAGAGGCATAAATTTAGAAGTATTATGACCTTCTTCTCATAAAATGCCTGAGCTACTTCCTTTTTATCTGAGCAATGATGCAAGACCAAGGTGCTGGCCAGAGCCATGGAATATAGAATCACAGCAGGAGAAATCTTCATTTTATATACCTATGCCCTGCCTTGAATCTCTATTTAAGAGGCACCCAGCCATTTTGTGTAAATGTTGATGATAAGCTAAGCCTCAGCAGTTATTCTGGGGAAAGAAGATGAAGGTTTGGAATAGCCCAGATGAATTTAATGAACATCTAACCTGTGAGCAGAAATATCGGAACTGGCAGCAGCAAAATTACAGAATCAGAGAAGCCAGAAACATTACAGCATGACTGGATGACATCCTTAGGACCACGATTTTAAAAGGTGGCATGGAATCTTCTGCATATCAAATTAGTCATCAGGTCAAATTGCAGGTGAATTCACCTTCTATGTAAAACTTTGGAATTCCCACAGAGAGGACTTGGAAGGCAAACGTATCCCTAGGTGAGCAGTCAGAGCACCTGATTCCTGTATAATTACATGGAATGAGAATTTGATACATGACAGTAATTACCTAGCTGAAGGTGCAATTAGCCATTTGTGACCTCATTCTGAGTGGCAACTAATTAACCCTTAATGTCAAAAATGTCAACCTTCATCAAGACACCAAAGAGAAGTACTACACGATCAGCTAATACTTGTTCCAACCTATAAATGGTTGAATCTGTCATCGGAAATGTGAATATATCATTTTTACATCAGCGTTTATGTTCAGATGTGGAATATGCTTCATTTATTTCCTTTTGTGGCTGCATTCCCTTGCTTACCCTAGTATGAGTAGGGTATTTCTTTCTGAAATAAGAATAATATTTCATATGCATATAAAATAATCATCTCTCGGCGAGATAAAACACCACAGGTGGTGCACAGAGAACTATAATTGTCAGTTGCATGCGATTTCTCCTGGTTATAGAAATGGCACAGAAATTGCAAAGATCTTAAACTGTGCCATCATTATGAACACCTCTCAAATATTGGCCTCACGGGAAATTGACTCTGGTACCTGTTCTTGTACTACATGCTAAAGTCGAAAGACATTTCCTCTGGGATGATATGAGGAAGTCTACAACCATCATCCTTTTTAAACCACCACATACTGGACCACAATTTTATAATTGCCAGTAGTCTACTCTTTTTCCTGCTACTTACTATGTATAAAAGCATAACATTTGAAAATCTATGTAATATATATGAGTTTGCTTCAAATAGAGAAGCTGCTGTACATTTTCTTCACACTCCTAGGATTCCCAAGAGTGACCTCAAAGGCAAGTCGTTAAAGTAATCAGCCATTTGTTCTGAAATAAATGCAATTATTAAATAAGATTAATGTGGCAAATATTTGTATTACAGATTGAAAACACAATCTAGCACTGATATTTATTTTTTCTGGATTCATGACCGGAAAAGCACGATATGTGCTGCTGTAATCTTTTAGTTTATTTGGTTTGATTCTTCTCTTTCTTCAAGGTTGTTTCAAGGGCCTAAACCGAATCTAGGCAATTTCATTTTATTTAACGGGGAACCAAAACATTTTTTCAAGTGTCTTACAAACTTGTGTTTCTGGGGCAGCAGGTAAAAGTCAAAGAAAATTTGCACACGTTTACCATCATATTCTTTACCTTTTCTTGCAGCGGAGAGTTCTGATGGCTTTACCTAGAAGTTTTAGAAAAATAACCAGTTACAACTGGTTCAAAATATTATTGACAATTTTTATTACTTGTAAAAATTCAAGGCATGTTTAGACTTATAAACAAATAAAAGCAAATACATATCTCTCCAATAACCTTTAATAAATTCTAAAATAAAATATTTCTGCTTACTGCATTTAGAAAGGTATTTCATAGCCATTTCCCTGAAGTTGCCAGGGATAACTATGCGTAGATGAATGGTGCTATGTTCTTGTTCAAGATAAGAAACATCTCTATATATTCAATAACCTTTCAAACAAGAAAGAATGGAAAGCTTGTAGAGAGAATGAGAGAGTGAAAATGAATGAAAGTCATCTATACTTATTGACTAAATGCAAAGCAAAACCCTTGCTTAAATATGAGGTGCAAAGTCATGTGATTACAGAAGACACTAGCATCCAAGAGGTTTTTGCATCTGTTCTGGCTTTCCGTTTATTTGGATTAGAAAAGAAAACCACATAACACAGATGGTAAGCTTATCAACCGTAGAGGCACACTTGGATTAGCCATTCCCACTGCTCATGGTAAGTTTCATGTCTGTGTTCCAAGGCTCACTGCCTTACCATTCACCCTTTCTGTTCCTTTGTAACAGTGGGGTGCCACTCTGGGCTCTCTGAATGAGAGAGAAATTCTGCCGCTTGATGGACATAGCTAACTACTTGTTCTAAATTACAGTTGTTTATTTAAAACCACATATTTACTGTAACAGAGTGTTGGCTGAGCAAGAAATTTACATGCCAAACATGCTCCCAAGCAGTTGATTTTGATTTTTCTAATTGCATTATACATAATAAAATCCATAAAATATGTCCATATTCACACATTTTATATGTGTGAACATAAGTAATTTCTTTCATCAACAGCATTTTCAGGCTTAGTGCATTCTATTGAGATGCTTTTTATAATTGTTAACTGGGTGAATACTAAAAGAATAAAAAATTTTTTAAACATCTGGCTCAATATTTCAAAACACTAGCTGTGAATTTGTTTTATAGCTGAAAATATTTTAATTGGAAAAGGTAAAACTTTGTCACAAATAAGAAATTATAACTTATTCTTAAGGTAACTGATAACTAAAGAGCTTATGAGATATGAGTTTACAAGTGACTATCTGCATTAGTCAAGTTTCAAAATGCATAGCAACATTTTTAAATTGATAATTTATCTATCTCTTTTTACAAAACTAATATTCATGGAATTAAACTTTCAAACTCTAGAAATAGAATATACACTATTTTAGCACATATTTTAGTAAGGAAGGTAATTGGATTTCAAATCCAAACAGTTGCAACCATCTCATTTGAAAATAATTAATAGCTACATTTTAAAAAGATCAAAATTTTTATGAACCAGGAAAAAAGTCATCTGATAATTGAAATTCAGAATTTGTAATACTGTTTTCCTTATGTGGAATATCCCATAACAATCTACTCTTTGTATTACCTGTTAGACAAATCAAAGTAACATAGAGACTTTGGTATTATATGGAAAAACCATGCTAGTTGTTTTAGTTGACTCTAAAACTCTATGTCCTGACTCTTTGCAACCCAAGGACTATATCCCTCTAGTCTCCTCTGTCCATGCAGTTGCCCAGGCAAGAATACTGGAGTGGGTTGCCATTTCCTTCTCCAGAGGATCTTCCTGATCCACGGATTAAACCCATATCTCCTGCATTGGCAGGCAGATTCTTTCCAACTGAGCCACGAGGGAAGCCCAGAGATATAAATAGATACAGATGTATCCTACTGCTATCTAAGAGCTTCTCAACCATTGCCATATACTTGTTGATATTCATAAGGTAAGAATGTTGACTGTTGGAAAATATAATCATCTTCCAGGTGGTCAGAGAAAACACTTCAAGGAGAAAGATGGTTTTGAGAAAATATTTTTGTTGAAGTTCATCCAGATGGAAGCAGTATTATTTGCAAATAAGGAGTGGGAAAAAAAAAAACACATTTCTAAAGGAAAAATGGTGTGCATGTATGTTTGCACACTTGTGTGAGTGAGTGTGCATGTGCATGGTAGAATGGAGAACTGGAGTGCAGTGGTGAAGTTCAGGATAAGCAAATCCATAGACAGAAAATAAATGATTTCTAGGAGCCCATGATAGGAAAGAACACAAAGTTTCTGCTAAGCTTCTTGTTGACATGATTACATTTTAAGGAATTAGACAGCAGTGATTGGTGCATGACTTCATGAATACACTAAAAACCACTGAACTGTACACTTTGAAATTGTAAATTCATGGTATTTGAATTGTAATTCAAAAAACATATATTTATGACACAGTTACATAATTAATGGAGAAGAAGATAACTCTCTTCCAACAATGAAATTCTAATAATAAAATTAGAAGAAACAATGGAAATAGAGAATTCTCATTTAGAAATAACCGTTTCAGGGAATATCATCAAAAGATACTAAAATTTATGAGCAACTCTATGATTAGAAACAATATTTACATTGTTGAAAGTATCTGTCCACCAAACATATCCAAAACCAAAAATTTTTAAGGTGTATATAATAAAGGTCCATCTTTTCTTCTTTATGTATAAAAGGATTCTTTTACAGTATTTAAAACAAATTAATATTAAAGCTAAGTCCATCATAAGTCATAGCTAAAGAGGTCATGACATGTTAAAATTTGTTGCCTTCCATCAGCTACAAAAATGGTCTTATACTTTAAATATTCCCATCTTACTCTAACAGTGATAATGCAATAGTGTATATTTCCTAGTGTTTTTCAAAATCAGGTTTTTGAAGAAGATTTCTCCTGTGTAAGATCTAAGAGTAGAGGTACCTGATGGAAAGTTAAATTCTTTTGTTCCTCAGGAAAAATAAATTTTAAAAAAACCCAGGAAGATCCTTCCCAATTGTGGATTGCCACAGCTAGGTTGTGACTTTTTGCCTTGGCATGGCCATATCACTATTTCTTCTACTTATCTGTCCTTCCACTCTTTGTTGTGGAAATTCTGTTCATCCAATTTTCAGGTCTGTTTCAGAGAGAATTATTCCATTCTTGAAACACAAGCTGGAATTATTCTGTCTGTAAATTTGTTGTGACCATGGGGGGAGATGAAGATCTTCCTATCTTGAGGATGGCCATCTTGAACCCTCCAAATTCTTTTTTCCATTTGCAGAATAAGTGTGTTATTACTCTTATCTTTGTTTTATCCTCTGTCATGTGGATTTTGGATGTAGGGAAAAGCAAAGAACATGTATTTCATTCTATAAATCCTTGAAGCATAAGGCATCACCACCAGTCCTAGTCCTGATTTTAAAGATTGTGAATCACCCAGACACTCTAGAATTTCATATAAATATAGGTACTGGAAGGGACTTTGGCTTATCTTCTTTGGGAAGGGACAAACTGTGTTCTCTATAGAAAGAAGGGTACGTGTAGATATTTAGTGGCTTGAAGTGCTGCCTGTGCAAAGATTATAAGCGCTCCAACAGCATCATGTATCTCTTTTCTTTGGGCATACAGCTACACTTCCAGGTCCCTTGCAAGTATAGGTGGAAGGTATTTCAGTTTATAATGGAATGAGAGCAGCCAAGCCATAAAATATCCTTCCAAGTCTGTCATACGTTTTATCTTCTACCTTATTGAGTTGTGGATAACTGAATTTCCTTGTCAACCAGGTATTGAACACAATGAAGCTTCTGTGAGCATGGATCCTGAACACCCACTCTAGACTATATGAGTAAGAGCTAAGCTGTGTTGATTTATTGCACTGTTCTGATTGTGTTAGATGGGCACAATTGCACCCATCTCATGTGCTAGTGAAGTAATGCTCAAAGTTCTCCACGTTAGGCTTCAATGGGACATGAACCAAGAACTTCCAGATGTCCAAGCTGGATTTATAAAAGACAGAGGAACCAGAAATCAAATTGCCAACATACAATGGATCATAGAAAAAGCAAAAGAACTCCAGATAAAAACAACAACTACTGCTTAATTGACTATGTTAAAGCTTTTGACCATATGGATCACAACAAACTGTGGAAAAAAGAGATGGGAATACCAGGCCACCTTACTTGCCTCCAGAGAAATCTGTTTGCAGGTCAAAAAGCAACAGTTAGAGCCAGACATGGAACAACGGACTGGTTCCAAATTGGGAAAGGAGCACATCAAGGCTGTATATTGTCAATTTGTTTATTTAACTTGTATGCAGAGTGCATCATGTGAAATTCTGGGCTAGAAGCACAATATGGAACCAAGATTGCCAGGAGAAATATCAATAATCTCAAATATGCAGATGACACCACCGTTATGGCAGAAAGCAAAGAGAAACTAAAGAGCCTCTTGATGAAAGTGAAAGAAAAGAGTGAAAAAGTTGGTTTAAAACTCAATATTCAAAAAACTAAGATCATGGCATCTGGTCCCATCACTTCATGTCAAATAGATGTGGAAAAAATGGAAACAGTGACAGACTTTATTTTCTTGGGCTCAAAAATCACTGCAGAGGGTGATTGCGGCCATGAAATTAAGACACTTGCTCCTTGGAAGAAAAGCTATGAAAAGCCTAGAAAGCATGTTAAAAAGCTGAGACATTACTTTGCCAACGAAGGTAAATCCAGTCAGAGCTGTAGTTTTTCCAGTACTAATGTATGGATATGAGAGTTGGTCCATAAAGAAACCAAGTTCTGAAGACTTGATGCTTTTGAACTGCGGTGTTGGAGAAGACTCTTGAGAGTCCCTTGGACAGCAAGGAGATCAAACCAGTGAATCCCAAAGGAAATCAATCATGAATCTCCATTGGAAAGACTGAGGCTGAAGATGAAACTCCAACACTTTGGCCATCTGCTGCGAAAAACTGACTCGTTGGAAAAGACCCTAATGCTGGGAAAGCTTAAAGGCAGGAGAAGAAGGGAATGACAGAGGATGGGATGGTTGGATGACATCACTGACTCAATGGACATGAGTTTGAGCAAGCTCTGGGAGTTGGTGAAGGACAGGGAAGT